ATTTCAGCTTCGAAATACGTCCTTTAAGATTGCCAACACACTGCATACCACAAAGTGTGATCGGTGAGTCTTCGCTCCAACTATGTAAAGTCCAAATTTTATGAGCTAATTGACCGACACATGCCATGTAGTTACCAGTAGAGGCAGCACTGGCACAAGATGCTATGGCAAATCTTCCTTGAGGACCATTGCCATTGCCTAATGTTTGTATTCCATTTCGTTGAAGAAAAGATTGTGCAATTTGGTTCATGTTGCCAAAGTTCCAAGCATGACTGGAGTTCATAGCAACAAGAATAATCATGGAACACACTAAGAATATTGTTATTTGTGACATTGTTATTTGATTTTATTGATATATTGAGAAAGAACACACTTTATCATACTGATCTCTCTATGTATTTATATACGAAACGTTTAAAAAGTCACAAAAACATCTTTATTGTGTTATGTAATTTTGATTAAAACACGAAAGGCAGGTAAATGATAACACGTCATTGAAAGTTTCGTGTTTCGATGACTGTACATCATACGTAATTCGATATAGGACAAAAAACGAAAGGGCATGGGAAAGATAACTTATGATGGTTGAAGAGAAAAATACCTTTTCTTCCTTGTCTTTGTCATGCATTCTATGACTCATGTAACATACAAAATTGATGAGATAGAATGATGAATTGTGCATTCAACATGACCTGTACTTTTTCCGATATGTCATATTGATTAAATTTGACATCGTTCTGCTTTAAGATCTGCTGTCAAGAAGAATACACCAGACAATTTAAATGGTACGTAGACAACGAGAGCTATAATCATTTGCACCAGTTCTTCTATTACTTTTGGCTTAATCTATTCCAAGATTCCATTCACAAATGGTCTGTCACAGCAAGTTGAAACTGTTTCGATCTAAAAGATATGATTGTATGAACAGATTCTTTCGAGATCATCAATTCATTGTAGTTGTTTTCTAAACATACAGGTGTCAGCGCAAATGTCTCAGTCAAGTATTCATTAGTTGAATAAACAAATCCTAGTGTAACGTTTTGTTCTAATGTCATGTACTTGACAGTCGTAATTTCTTTGAAGCATTTACACGTTTCGTCTAAGGAAAAGCATATTTGATTACATATATCATATTGATTTGACGATAAAATCAAACAACCTTTTGATCGAAAAGTTGAGCAAATATTGTTCTAGTTCAACTCCATAAAAAAATCAAACAAATAAATGCAACACTATTCTAGGAACAAATGGAGATATGATTAAAAAAAGAGAAAACTAAAACGATTTTTTATGTCGTTTCCAACAGGTTTTTGTATTGACAGATGTTTGCAAACCACTTTTTCAATTTTATATTTGTACTTCGCAAGAGAAGAATTTGAGTATGCAGCGAAATTTTTCTGATTTGAAAATTTTCTTTTAAAGCAACATCACATTCTTGCCTCGCTCGTCAATCATAGCGTGCACATTTATAATAGGATGTAATTTGGAAAAATATTTAATAAAGTAATTCACAATGACTAATGAAACTTAGTTTGACAGAAAACGCTGTTGTGTATGTGGTTCACTAATGATTGTGTAATGAGATCGTTTTTCTTCATAACGTCAATTCGATTTTTCATTGTTATACAAAAATTAAGATGAACATAGGAGACTACAAAAAATAGATTGACATCAATGCTAATACCAGATTACTTTTCATGAGCCTATCCCATGTCATTAAAATCGCGTTACTTTTGGCGATTAATCACGATCTGAGGACAAAAATCGCCGATTTTTTTTCATATTTAGAAAATCGTCTATTAATCGTGATTAATTGGCGATTTTTCGGATATCACAATAAATCGCGATTAATCGCCGATTCTGCAACAAATTTCAGCAACAAGTACTAATTTACAAAAATAAGTGTTTTTTTTTTCGTTTATTTAAATCGTCCGAATATCTTAATGAACGGTAGTAACTGTCTTTTTTATAAGAAAAAAACGCGTCGTGTCATTCGCTTCCTTATAATATGGAAAAAGAAGACAGATGATGACTGGATAAAAAAAGATGTAAAATGGGAGAAAAAAATAGAATCAAACAGGCTAGGCAAAAGTGAACATAAATTATTAAGTGTAATTGGTGTTGCTTCATAGAAACACCAATCATATTTCTTAATAATGCATCCAAGACAGCAACTATACAATTCATTTTTGGATGTTTATTGTCAACTTCATAAGGACCTTAAGAGACAGGTATGAATATTAACAGAAACTAAGGAAGATTTTAGATTGCTTGCATTTTTTTAAAAATGTAGGTTGCATATCAAAATGGTCCAAAAGCATGGAGTGAAATAAAACCGAAAGGAGACGAAGCAATTAAAACTGAAATCTCTCAAATGACAGCTAAATTAAACGTGAATCAATCGTTATTATCACCTGTTCATATGTTATGGAACCAGAAAAAAAAATTATCTTCATCAACGCCACCTGTAGCACATGCAGCGTCTTCATTACCATCACCATCTTCTGAAGAACAAACTAACACTCCATCATCATCCAATTCAACAAATTCTCCTGTAACTTCAAGAGGTAACGTTTTTATTGCTCAATCAAATAAAAAATATCTTTTTAGAATGTTTTAAGCAAAATAATTTACAAAATGAATTAAATACAATCAATGAGCAAATAGCTGCATTATCTGGTTTAAAAGCAACTGGTTTATGGAGACCAGAAAACTCTAAAGAATTAAATGATTTAACGAACAAACGGTCGAAATTAAAACAAGCTTTACATCGATTAAAAAATAATCAAGCTGCTCAAACTCGAGCGAGAAAAAAATCGTCGTTTAAAATTGGTTCGTTTACTTGATAATCATCCGGAATTAGGTGAAGAAATGTCGTCATTGGTTCGTTCTGCACCTGGAAAACCTAATATTGAAGATTCTCAACCTGGA